CTCCCTCTCCAGTCTGAAGAGCAGTCAGGATTCCCTGCCCTGTGGGAAGTTCAAGGTCCTTCCCCCTCTATCCAGGTCTAAGAAGGTGAGCATCCAAACAGGCTAGGCTCCCACAAAGCCAGTACATGCAGTGGGATCAAAACCCCACCGAGCTTCAGCGACACCATAGCAGTTTCCCTGTAGGGTTCCCTGACATCCTTTCCTCAACAGTGCCATGTCCTGGTCCCACAACTTCAAATGCAGGTGTCACCCATTTCCCACTAACTCCGTCTCTTTCTATGCACCCAACAACCTTTCTCTAATGAGCAATTATCGGCACCCAGGTGCCTGGTCACAGGTGTCTTAGCACAGAGCTCATCTCCTTGGATGTACAAGGTTGATAGCGCATAGCCTGCCGTTCAAGGACCTCCTAATCTATAAGCCAAAGGTGGGTTATTTGTCTGGAGAACCTCCCTTTATCCTTCCTTACCTGAGACAATCAGCCAGGCTGCCAACTAGAGCAGGAGCATCGTTGATATAGAGATGCTGGAGACAGTGGAATTTGGGTAATTGTGATACCAATTTGTTCATGCACTCCTCTTCCAGCTCTTCAGATTCACTGATGCCTGAATCCTTTATGTGCTCCAAACTGAGTGTGTGAATGATTCTCATCTGTCTTGGGTACGGTCAAAAGGACCCATGGCTTCTATCCATATATATCTCAACTTCAGCTCCCATACACAGAGGAGATCTACAGACTTTAAGACGTCTATGGCAATGGGAAAGTATTCTGATGTCAAAATCTCAAGCTTTCGACAGCACAAATGAACAGAATTTTGTCTCTGCTGGGCCCATCGCCACAAGTATGTGGTACATTCATCGCACTCAGTGTTCATTATTTTTGGGTCAGTTACCACGTTTAAATATTTCTTTACTCCCGAGTAAGGACACATTGCAACTGGCCTCTTCTGTCTCATGACCTGACAAGAACAATTCCCTTATAGGTTCCAGTCCTTTTGCTCCAGAAACCAGGGTCCATATTTGTCAAATCCAGGTAGCAATCTCAGCAAATAACATACATATTACAGTCTTCTCATCCGCATCACACTTAAGGTCTCCGTTCCAAAACTTTGCTTTTTTCCTATGCATAGTATCAAGGCCAGGGCCTCAAGCTCAGTATAAAGGGAACTTTACCAGGGAGGCACCCTCAGCCCTGTCCCAGGTCCTTCCATTCCCCCCCTTAATCCCAGCCTCATTCCACCTGGAACTTTGAGTGACAGACACCATTGAGGGATTCCTCAGTGGCTGTTCTCGTGTTCTCCACATTATTATTGCCAAAATGGCTGAGACCAGGCCAAAGCCTCTAAAATCCTCTAAGCAGATGCTATTAGAATTCTCAACCCTCTTTGACCAAATAGTCCTTGGCCCCACATGGTCTTGCTTTGTACATACAAAGCCTCCTCCAATCAAGCCTGATCTTGCTTACCTGGGGCAAGGCTCCTCTGTAATCAGCAAGTCAAGCAGAGCTTTCAAAGTCTCCAGGTGTGGGGTCTTCTTCAGGACTCCTACAGGAAGGCAAGTGAATGGCCAGGCAGGCACCATGGCCCACAGGATATTGGTCTGATTGTTCCTGAAGGCCACCTCAAATGTTGCTGGTGACAGCAACCAGAGCAAGCCCACCAGAGCAGAAATGGCAAAGGCTTTCTGCTTCAGTAGGCTCTCTATCGCTAGCTGCTGGAGTATTGGTGAGGCTTGATCTCTCACTGTGACTGGTTTCAGGAATAATGATCCTGGGAAAGCAGGCAAAGAAAGAGACCATTAATGATTGTAAACTTTGGAAGTCCTTCCGCACACACAGGGAGCTGTAGGGCAGTCAGTGCTGAGGGATTGTTGAGATCTCTGTTTACCAGTTCTCATTACCTTCTGCTGGATATAAAGCAACAATTCACCTCACTGTGGTTTGTAGTCTCCCCAAAGAAAGAGGACAACAGGGAAAAAAAAAAAACTAAAAAGGAGAGGACTAGAGATGGAAATGATTATTCACATTCTGTAGGAAGGAAACTCCCTAGAACACTGCCACAACTGTTTACTTCTAGAGCACCAGAATGGTTTCCTGAGGTCTTCTGAAACTAGTAAGACTGAAGGGGGCAGGATTTCTAATTAAATGTCAGCTGGACACTGAATAAATGGAAGCAGGCTGCTTTCTACAAATTCGAGGACATTATAGGTTCCATGATCAACAGATGCAAATACCCTTGTAGCGAGCTGCGTGGTGTCACACCTGATGGAGATGTGTAATCAACTCCTGAGATGGCTAAGGCCTGACCTATGCTATGATCACACAATGATTATCAGCTGCTTGCATATGCGTGGGCCTATGGGCAGTGCCCACCTGGCAATCCGGGATTGGCAGCCCATGCCTGCTTAAGGGCTGGGAGAGGTTTGCCCGAGGAGAGAAAAAGAGAGAGAGAGAGAGAGAGAGAGAGAGAGAGAGAGAGAGAGAAGAGAGAGAAGAGAGAGAAGAGAGAGAAGAGAGAGAAGAGAAGAGA